GGTGTGTGTACGGATCTACCACCTTTACACTCGGGCTGCATAGACATATACGCGCCTGTCCCCTGTTAGAATGTAAGGAAGCTCTTTGGAAGCAGAGACTGTTTCATCCTGTGCGCTCCTATCACAGCAGGCACGTGGTAAACTCTTGTGGCTTAATTAATTTATTAATTAGTAAATGTCAGCAGACTTATCAACGGCTCCCACTCTCTACTTCGCCCAAAGTGTTCATTGGCCAGAGGCCACATGGGGCGACGACAACAACCGGGAATTTCGGCCTCTTCCGGTTCTTTCGCCACGTGACCTGCAGGGGATTCCCTTTCCCTCTGTGGGACTCAGTTTCTCCCTCAGTCAAATGAAGGGACTCAAGTGTAAGGTTAGAGCCTCGCGGGGGCTGGATGGTCGAGGCTGATCCCGGGGGGAGGTCGGCAGAGAAGGCCCGGACGGACCGAGCCGAGCCGGGGCTGCTTTCCTCCCTCCGCGGCCAGGCCCGGCGCTGCCCAGGGGGGCCTGGGGCAGCCCCGGCCGCGCTTCTCCAGGAACCCCCTCCGGGCGGGGACGCTCGCCGTGCCGGGCTACGTGGGAAGAGGGAAGCCCCGGCCAGCGGCCAAGCGCAGGACCCACTCACCTGGAGCTCACGGCCCTCGGAGCCCACGGGGAGAACTACTTCCGCCAGCTGCCACACTTCCGCCCGGTCAGCCGACGCAGTGGGCGCTGGGAGCGGAAGCCGCGTCTCCGACCTCAAGGGGCGGGGATTTTCCCCTGACGTTGCCTAGACTGCGTTAACCCTTTCGGTGCTCCAATTCCTCCAGAGCAACACCGCCAACGCCAACATTAGCTAACATTTATATAGCGCTTACTGTGTGCCGCTCAGACACTAGCTATGTGACCCTAAACAAGTCACTTAACCCCGTTTGCCTCAGTTTCCTCCTCTGTAAAGTGAGCTGGAGAAGGAAATGGCAAACCACTTTGGTATCTCTGCCAAGAAAACCCCTAATGGGGTCCATGAAGAGTCAGACACGACTGAATAATGACTATGTTCCAGGAGCTTTACAATTATTATCTCATTCGATCTTCCCAACAATCCTGGGAGGTAGGTACTATAATTATCCCCATTTTACAGATGGGGAAACTGAGGCAAACTAAGGGTAAGTGACTTGCCCAGGATTACCCAGCTAGTAAGTGTCTGAGGCAGGATTTGAACTCAGGTCTTCCTCACCACTTGCCCAGAGCTCTATCCATTGAATCACCAGGCTGCCCAGACGTAACTTTGGAGTATACCTAGAATAGGCTTGGCGTCTTTTTGAGGAGGGAGGCAGGAGACAGTGTGATGGAAGGCAAAGTGTGCTGGATTTGGAGCCAGAGGACCTGGGTTCAAATTCCATCTCTACCTGGGCAAGGCAGTAGACATGAAGTCAAGAAGACTCAGGCTGAATTCTGCCTCAGATTCTTACTAGTGTCTGGAATCAGGGAACCTAGATTTGAGTGGTCCTCAGATAACTTACAGTTTTGGGACCCTGGGCAAGTGACCTAACCCCTCTGGGCCTCAGTTTCCTTATCTGAAAAATGAGGGGTTTGAACTGATGACTTCTAAGCTCCCTTCCAACTCTAAATCAATGATCTCATGACCCTGGATAAGTGAACCCCACCTCCCTGGGGCCTCAGGTTTCACAGCCTTCACTTGTACCACGTGGTTGGAGAAATGACCTTCAAGGTCCCTTCCAGCTCTGAATCTATTATCCCCTTGTAGTCCAAAACCTCAAACAGACTCTATAGGTTAGGTCTCGGCTGACACCTGTACCCTCATCTGTTAATTGAAGCTGTCTGGAGGGTGATACTAGAATGATATCCACAGACCTCTCCCCCTGGAAGCTTACTTCACCTTGGACTCCATAAAATGGAAGTAGCCTCCAGCCTGAGGCCTCTGTCTTTCTGATCGGCTGGTTCCTCCTTGAATCTCCATCTTAAGGAGAAGGCCAAGGCCAGCTGCTCTCCTGACTCTTCTGGACTTTGTTTATAATGCCCGCCCTCTCCTTTCTTCACATCCACAATCCACCTTCCCCACACTTTTCAGCTAGCTTTTAGGTATCAGTATTCCCAGTGTTCAGCACAGTGCCTGGCACACAGTAAGGGCTTAATAGATGCTTGTTTACTTATTATAGACAAGCCACTATAGTTGCCAATCAACAAGCATTTATTGAGTGCCTATTATGTGAGAGACATTCTACTGGGCTCTGAAGACACAGAAGCAAAAACAGTCCCTTCTTTCAAGGGACACACCTACGGAGGGGTGTGTGTGTGTGTGTGTGTGTGTGTGTGTGTGTGTGTGTGTGTGTGTGTGTGTGTGTGTGTGTGTGTGTGAGACAGAGAAAGAGCAGGAAAGAGAGAGAAAATAAGAGAGGAGAGGAGGGAGGGAGAAAGAAGAGAGAAGAAAGGAGAGGAGAGAGAAAGAAAGGAGAGAAGGAGGAGAGAAGAGGGGAAAGGAGAGAAAGATGAGAGGATGGGAGAGAGAGTGAGAAAGAGGAGAGGAGGGAGAGAGAAAAGGAGAAGAAGGGGGAAAAGAGAGAGAGAGGAGCAGATGGGGGAGAGAGAAAGAAAGTAAGAGAGGAAAGATAGAGAAGAGGAGGGGGGAGAGAGAGAGAAAAAGTAAGAGAGGAGAGATAAAGAGAGCAGAAGATGGGAGAGAGAGAAGGAGAGAGAGAAAGTGAGAGAGAGAGGGAGAGATCCCAAATAAGATCAGGCACTGGTAAGGTAGCTGAGTTGCTAGGGGAGTGACTTTTGCCAACCACACAAGCTTAGTGGAATCCTTTTCTATTAGGCTTTACACCATATATACTGCTTGGGTCATTCATGTTCTCCCTCCTCCCCTCTCCTCCAAGAACCTAAGTTTTCCTGAAATGCTGAGGGAAGCTTAGAAAAACAACACAAACCTCTCAGACTAAAAGAGGCTCTCAGCTCCCCGGATATATGAACTTCCTGATCTTATCATTTCTTTCCCAAAAGGGAAAGAAGACAGGTCTAGATATATCTGTCTATATTTGGTCCTGGGTGTTTCTTTGAGGCTTATGAAAAGTCTAACATCGATCCCTCCACTTTCTTTCTCTTTCTTCCATCAATCTCCTAGTTCAGCTCAGGTAAAAGTGTCTCTTATCTCCCAAAGGGAAAATCTGTTTTCTTATCTCATGTCAATGCTTTTAGTAAAAGAGGCATTCGGGCAGCTAGGTGGCACCATAGTACATAGAGTGCCCGGACTGGAGTCAGGAAAGCTTATCTTCCTGAGTTCAAATGTGACCTCAGACGTTTACTTGCTGTGTGACCCTGGCCAAGTCACTTAACCCTGTTGGCCTCAGTTTCCTCACCTGTAAAATGAGCTGGAGAAGGAAATGGCAAACCATTCCAGTATCTTTGCCAAGAAAACCATAAGGGGAGTCAGAGTCAGACACAACTGAAATGACTTAATAACATAATGCAGCAAGAATGAGTTTCTTTTAAATTTCACATTCAGCTTTACCACCTTCAATGGTATTTTCAGAGGAAATGACAGTATCATAGATTTGGAGCTGGAAGACACCTCAGGAACCATCTACCCCAATCCTCTCACTTTACAGTTGAAGAAACTGTATAATGAGGATAATAGCTTCTACTTACCAAGGTTGTTGTGAGGGTCCAAGAAGAGGATATGTGTACGTGCTTTGCAAACGTTAAAGCACTTTATAAATGCAGGTTGTTATTGTTAGTAATCACTGATGCAGCTTGTCAAGGAATGTCCTAATAAAGGTTCCTAAAATCTTTTGTGTTACAGATCTCTTTGGCAGTCTGATATATGGATCCCTTTTCAGAAAATTTTAAATGCATAAAATAAATAAGATTAGAAAGAATACTAATTGTATTGAAAATTGAACAGCATTAAAATACAGTTATCAAAAAAAAATTTTGGAAACAATTTTATGGACCCCAGGTTAAAAATTTTGATTTACACTGTATTATGTCTACTGCCCATATTGTTCATGTATCTTTGTGCTGAATGACATCCTGAAATGATTATGTGAGAGACGGAATTAATCGTCCTTATTTTGTTAAGTACTTATGTTTATTTTGATACTGTGATGTATAATTCCAGAAAATAAGCAAAGCACAGCTGATTTTGCCAGAGACTGCAAAATTTCTGTTGCTGGGAAGAAATGTAAGAGATCACTAGAGACAAAGTCTGTTCTTTGTTGTTCGGTTGTTTTAGTCATGTCCAACTCTCCGTGACCCCTTTTGGGGTTTTCTTGGCGAAGATACTGGAGTGATTTGCCATTTCCTTCTCCAGCTCATTTTATAGATGAGGAAACCGAGGCAAACAGAGTTAAGTGACTTGGCCAGGATCACACAGCTAGTAAGTGTCTAAGGCCAGATTTGAACTCAGATCTTCCCCGACTCCAGGCCTGGTGCTGTATCCATTGTGACACCTAGACGCCCCAATAAAGTCTGTGGACAAATATAAAGTTATCAGTGGTTAGGTGTAAGAGCCTCTGGGAGCCAGGGGACTGTGAAGTTTTGACTCTTTGAATGGAAAAATTCTTTCTTCTCTCATCTGAAAGGAAGGAAAGAACTGTAATCTGACAATAGGAGGTAATCTATTCAATTCAGTTCAATAAACATTTATGTTCCAAGCACTGTGTTAAGCTCTGGGGATATGAAAAGATGTAAAAGACAGTCCCTTTCCTCAAGCAGCTTACAATCTAATGTTCAGGATAAGACAGGGCTCCTTGACAATGACATGGTAACCAGGAGAGAAAGAGAAGATGAGAAAGCCAGTTGCACCCTGAACCACAACCTTCACTACTGCAGGGACATTAAACCTACTGGAGAGTATGGAAAGAGCAAGAGACTAGAGAAGGTAGCATTTCCATGTCTGTTGAGAACCAAAGTGGTGAAACCTCTACCTCCACCTCCTACTTCATACTGGTTCTCACTGAGGCTACTTCCCATTCCTTTTTTTTTTTTAAATAGTCTGTTCACTTTCTGTATTAGCCAAGTATTCTTAAAAAAAAAAAAAACATTTTCTCTAAGATAACATTCAGTGTGGGTAGAGTAAAAGCCTATGAGAGTGGGGAGGGAGGACAGGACAAAGGGAGGAGGAGGAAGGGAGAGAGGAAGGAGGATAGGAAGAGGGGGAAGGGAGGGAGGGAGAAAAAGAAGGAAGGGGAGAGGAAATGGGAAGGAAAGAAAGAGAAGGAGGGAAGGAGAGAGAGGGAGTTGGGGAGGGAGGGGCAAAGGAAGGAGGGATAAAGGGATGAAGGGAAGGAGAAGGAAGGGGGGAGGGAGGGAAAGAGAGGAAGGAAAAGAGGGAGGGAAGAAGAGAGAAGGGAGAGAGAGAGACAGAGACAGAAAGAGAGAGATCGATCCTTCATTTGGTTCAACCCAAAACAAAGAGATTTTACTGCTCAGTATTATTATTCTCCCTACCCCCAAAAAAGGGGGAAAAACACACGAACCCATACTGGTCAAAAAGAATGAGCTAAGCTGTAGTACATTAGGCAACATATTTGGTAAGCAGAAGGAAGCTTCCTGCAATACAGTGGCTTTGAGCAATTGTTTCCCGTTTCTCTGCCCTGAACAGGTAAAAAGAAAAGGAACTTTATCCTTCTTTCCTCCCCGACTCTCCAGAAACAGAGCCAAAGGCTATGTGACTGCAAGAAAAATCATGGTTATGGG